CAGGAATTTGAAAATGTTACACAAGTAAACACTCTGCATATCTTGATAAAAACCCTTTTGTGAGCCATTTCTGATTACCAATGTTCTCTTTAAATCCTCCCCCAGATGATATTTAATTTAAACTTGCTTGAAATAAAGTGAGGCAAAGTTTCACTTCCGGATCTTATTTTTTACACTATTTCCGTTCCTTGGAAGTCTGGAAAGATCACACAGGCATTCTGCTATAAGGAAAGGCTCTGACTGATACTGAGAAACAGGTTTACTATGTTTCAGCTGTGTTACTACACTCTATATCCTTTGTTCACACTTAAGTGACTAGAATGCCCTCTCCGCTCCTGGAATCTGTTCTTCAAGCCCAGATGACATCTTATCCTCCAGAAAACCAACATTCTTCCTGACTAGATGAGATCTCTCCTACCTATAAATTGCTGAATATTCTACAAAGGTGCACAATTGCTTTCGCTGCCTCCAGTGAAATAAAAATGTCTTAAAGGCAGCATCCATCTTCTTAATTTTGGTATCACCAGCAGCAGCTTGTAATGAATTTAGGAAGTTATTCACAAAAGAATTAGAAGTTGGCATGACTTTACTACATACAATTCATACTAAGGCTTTTTAAATAACAAGATAAGAGAATTTGACAAATTAAATAGGTATTTCAGCAAATCATTTGAAAGATAAGAAATATTTTGTAGACTAGATGAAAAACTAAGCTGGATAATAGTACAATCCGCTCATTAATTCAGTAATTTTTAAGTACCTATTATTTGAAGGTCCTATGCTAGGCCTACAGTCTAAGAGGGATATAGATCCTGCTGGAAGGAAGAGAAACTAAACAAATAGATAAACGTAATTACAAATCTATAAGGACAAAGGAAAGAAACAGGATGCAGTGTCAGAAAAGAACAGGCCTAGAAAAAAAGTTCCTATTTAGACAGGATGGTGGGGGTGAAGGCTGAGAGGAAAGGCACATTATAAGCTCAGAGAAATAGCAAGTTAAATTAATTTGAAATGGATAATTGATTGACTGATTACACTCAAAAGGGGACCGTTACTTAATGCAGTAACCTGCCAAAGAGTTCTCTCCATAGCACTTGACCCTCTCCATAGGGTCAAGAGTTCTATAAATGGCCTGGATGGTAGCATTCCTGATGAAGACACAGAGCTACTGCTTTAAAAGTGGCTACTACACTGATGACGAAATGGGATACCCCAAAAGTTTCATACACATTTACAAAAGGCTGAATCTAAAAGGATTAAATATAAGTGGAAAGTCCTGCCTGGATCCCCCAACATGGTTACCAAAAAAGGCAAAGGTAATTTGGTCTTAATCTGATGTACTAGAAGTACAGGGTCAAAACTAGAGCCCCTCACCCCTATCTCCTAACTACACTTCCAGAACTGTGTTTTTCCCAGGTATACTGTTAAACAATCTCCAACTTAAGCAACCAGGATGAAAAACAACTTGGAAACTTACATGTTAAAACTGAAAGAATTGAAGCCGATTGGCCCACAAAAAAGAAGTCTGGATAGAGACCAGATGAGTCTTTAAATAGCTGGAGGGCTGTCCCATGACAAAGGGCTTACACTGTCCTGTGTTGACCTGAAGGGAAGAACTAGGATCAATAGGTGAAAGTAATTTGAGGCTTAATACAAGGAAGATGTTTCCAACAATTTAATCATTGAAAATAAAACTGGGCCAACTCCCCAATTCCCCATTATGATGTTATTCAGGTATCAATCTTGGGATATAACAAGGATTAGCATACTATAGGGGTTTGGCCTAGGGTTTCTAAGGTCCTTCCCTTAAAATAATCTGAATATATGGCCTCTCTTAAAAGAAGGCTACCTTAGCACCTCATTAATCTCAATGGTTTCCTCCCAATCCTGCCTTCAGGTTTTTGCATTTATTTTCCCCTTTGCCTGGAAGCTTTTCCCCAGGCTCTCTGAATGGCTGCCTCCACAGCTCTCAGGGCTAAGATCAAATGTCACCTATTCAGAGGTGTCTTCTCTGATTATCCTACCTAAACTGGCCTTCCACTAACTCGCTTTAATACCGTCTGGTTACAGGAACCTTGTTTTATTGTGCTTCACTTTATTGCACTTCACAGACATTGCATTGTTTTTACAAATTGAAGGTAAGAGCTTTCATCAGCAAAGATTGTGACTTGCTTTATTGAGATACTTGCTTTAGTGCTGTAGTCTGGAACCGAACCTGCAATCGCTGAGGTACGCCTCTATTTCTTTTAGAACAATGAGCACTAAGCCTGATTATTTTGTTAAAGTCTCATTCAGTACTGTATCTCCACTACCCTTTAGTGTCTGCCACATGGTACACGCTCTATAAATATTGTTGAGTTTTCATTTCTCAAGTTAAATTAAATGTTGGTAGGGGATCTTTCCTTAGTCCCCGAAAATAAATCTACTGCGAAGAGACGGTAAACTTCCAACTTTCCCTTTCAAAAAGATAGACGTGTGCACAAACACTCACACACACGTACAAACAAGCCACATGGAGAGAAAGATATAAAGACTAAACTTGATGTGGTTAGAAACAACTGATTATGAATGACACAAATAAATATGGAAAATGCAACAAACAAAAAACTATAGACTGATCTAGATGCATTCTAGCAATATTAATGCATTTTGTAATGTGAACTCCTTGTTTTCTTTACATATAATTTCCCTATTGTTAAACAACAATTATTCATGACATTTAATGTGGTAGAAAACTGTAATTACCACTAACTGTTCTCAAGTACATTTCATACCACTAAAGTCTTCTAAAATATGAGCCTTCATGACTTGTTGATATAGTAGGGCCACACTGCTTACAAACGGGTGACTGCCAGAATTTCTGCAACTCAGACCCTCCTGCCATGAAAATAGGCATCTTCCACCACTCTGTAAAGCCTGGAATTGCTCAGTTTAGTATTCATTAATTACATGGAACTAGGTTTCAGTAACAATTTTTTAAATGAAAATAACCTCGGGAAAGTTATGTTTTTGACAATTGTGATCATTGAGGATCAAAGTACGTACTGTAGGATTTCTTGTGTCTCCAAGACAGCAATCATTTTATTTCACTCATTCTCAGACTATTCCCAATTTAGGGCACCACCAACTCAATTAGCCAGTCTAACGGTCTCAGTCATCTTCTCTGCATCTACCACTCAATCATCACTTGTCAAGGCCTCTTGATTCTAAGTCTCAAACTTTCCACACCCTCTTTACCTCACTGGTTTAAGTAAGCAACATCCCCTATAAGCCATGCAATATTCAGAAGCATCTTCCTAAAACACACTACTGATGGAGCTCTTTTGCTAAAACACTCTGCTGCCTACAAAATAGTTAAGATACTTTGGCTTTGTATTCAGTCCCTCTCCTCCCCAACTTGGTCCCAACTTCCCTTTTAAGCCTGTTAACTAGCCCAAGAGCCCCATATTGAGATAAATCAGAAAACACATCTTTTACTTTTCTGCTAATTGTACCTGTTAAAACTATCCCCAGAATCCAGTTTAAATGCCCCATCTTCTATGTCTGAATTAATTCCACATTACTTGTTTATATAATTTTGATACCATTCTGTTTTTTAAAACCAAAATATCACACATCAGTCTTGAACATTAAAGTTCCCTGCAGGTGAGGGAAAAACTTAAGCTCATGTCTGGAATCCCTTGATATGTGACATTTAATAAACAATTAATTAAATAAAGTAAATACTTTTATCTGCTTGTATTCTGAGAAACATTTACACTGAGGTAGATGAAGATAACATGACAGCACTAGACATTTAAGAAAGATGTGGCCACAGAGTTCTGTAAAAGGCTAATGCTAGGTGCTCTAGATTTTTCCCACTCACTCTTCACAACTATCTTATGAAGTAGGTTAAAATTATTCATTCATATTCTGTGTGTGTGTGTTTATGTTCTTATAGAGACAAGTTCATTTCAATATGACATTTCCAGAAAGATGCAAAATTGGGTAGAACTCCTAATCCAAGGGTTCTAAATACTCTTCAGTAGGAAAGAGATTATTTTTATTTCCCAGTCAACAGAATATAAGCCCATTTGCAATAAACATCCTCTTTTTTACAGATGAATACAGGTTCCAAGCAATTAAGTGTCTTCCACTTAGCTTCCAAAATGTGATGAGCCAAGGTCAGGCAGCTACTGAACTCTGGAGCCAGGATATGAACCTAGTCGCCTAACTCCAGAAGAAACAAAACAAGTTTCTCTACTCTGCTGGAGCTCACATTCTGAGGAATAGACAGAAACGATTACAGATTAAAACCTTTCACTGCACAGTGACAGATAAAGCTTCACCTGCAAAACACCTTTGAAAGCAGGTACACAGCTGAAACACAGTGACCCTCAGCACAGCTATTAGATCCTTTCCCGCTTAGAGGAAACGGCACAGATTATCTGCAATGATCCTTTAGAAACTCCAAGAATGGGAACAGTGTATAAAAGGGATCTGGGGGTGAATTTTTACCTCAGTTAATCTCCAGCCATTCATGATTAAATACTATGCCAAGGAGTATTTGAAAAGGATACCTGTAATCAGAAATGGCTTACAAAGGGATTTTAACAAGGAATCC